GGGGAGGGGGAGGAGAAAAAAAAAAAGAGTCAATTGATGTGGCAAACTTCACTGTTCTCTTATTTTAAGAAATTATCACAGCCACCCCAACCTTCAGCAGCCACCTCCCTTATCAGTCAGCAGCCATCGAGTTTGAGGCAAGACTCTCCAGCAGCAAAAAGATAATGACTCACGGAAGGTTCTGATGATGATTAGCAATAAAGTATTTTTAATTAAGGCATGTACATTTTTATTAGATATAATGCTACTGCACACTTAATAGATTACAGTATAGTGTAAACATAACTTTTACATGTACTGAGAAACAAAAAAAAAATCATGTCACTCACTTTACTGCAATATTTGCTTTATTGCAGTGGTCTGGAACTAAACCCAAACTATCTCCAAGGTATGACTGCACAAATTATCCCTCTCTTCGCTCTCTCTCTCTCACACACACACATCTTTATTACAGTGGTGGTTGCAAAGTATATACATTTGTCAAAACTCATAGAATACCTAAAATGGGTGAATGTGATTGAATGTAAATTAATCCTCCATAAAGTTTATTTTCAAAAGGGTAAAAAATACGAACAGACACTTCACAAAAGAAGATATACAATGGCAAATCAACATTTGAAAATTTCTTAACATCATTAGTCATCAAAAAAATACAAATTAAAACCAAGCCCAAAAGTCAATTAACAGAGAATTAGATAAATAAACTGAGTTATGATTATATAGCAGAATATTACATCGCAATAAAAAAGGAGTAAACCACTGACAAAACATGGATAAATTTCAACAACATTATACTGAGCAAAAAGAAGCCAAACACAAAAGGGTACATATTATATGATGTCATTTTTTTGAAGTTTAAGAATAGACAAAACTATAGAAATAGGAATCAAAAGACTGGCTTTCAATCTTAGCACTCTGGGAGGCCGAGGCGGGCGGATTGCTTGAGCTCAGGAGTTCGAGACCAGCCTGAGCAAGAGCGAGACCCTGTCTCTACTAAAAATAGAAAGAAATTAATCGGACAA